ATTAACACAACTGTTCTTCTGTTTTCATTTAATGCCGTGTAAAAATTAATGCTGACATATATAAATTAGAAGATTTTGTAAATGTGTGAAAAGAACCATTAACACAACTGTTCTTCTGTTTTCATTTAATGCCGTGTAAAAATTAATGCTGAAATATATTAATTAGAAGATTTTGTAAATGTGTGAAAAGAACCATTAACTCAACTGTTCTTCTGTTTTCATTTAATGCCATGTAAAAATTAATGCTGACATATATAAATTAGAAGATTTTGTAAATGTGTGAAAAGAACCATTAACACAACTGTTCTTCTGTTTTCATTTAAGGCCATGTAAAAATTAATGCTGAAATATATTAATTAGAAAATTTTGTAAATGTGTGATACAATCCCAGTATGGTGTAAACAAATGATTGTCAGAACAGCACAGTGTGGAGTCTGATTGTCATACCTCCGTTTGATGCTGTTTTAGACACCCTGAGACTTTATTATTGTTTATTCGTCTCTCCCAGTTTGTCATTGATGTAGCCTAGGGTTGCATACGTAATTCGGATACTATCGTACAGAGTGTGAAATTGATTCGTGAATATTCAATCTCCACCGTATTAATTTTACACTTTTTTTTTTTCATTAGTCGCAATGTTGAACGGAAAGTATTTTGTTTTCACCATAACAAAAAATTGATTGTTATTGGAGAGTGTTTAATCCGAACCACGTTTTAACGGAATATTTATTTTGATGCGTACAGCTTAACTGGTGGAATGCCAACTCCAATGCGCCTGAGGGATCTGATCCGTCAGATCCGTGCAGCCCGTACTGCTGCAGATGAAAGAGCAGTGGTACAGAAAGAGTGTGCGTACATTCGGTCTACGTTTCGAGAAGAGGACAATACTTGGCGGTGTCGTAATGTTGCCAAACTCTTGTACATACACATGTTGGGATACCCAGCACACTTTGGACAGGTAGGACTTAAAGTAAAGATAATTATTGGGGAAAGCAGCACCTTCAATTAGATCTAAGTTTTGTGTAAAGCACCTTCAAGTAAAGATAATTATTGGGGAAAGCAATACCTTCAGTTAGATCTAAGTTTTGTGTAAAGCACCTTCAAGTAAAGATAATTATTGGGGAAAGCAAGCACCTTCAGTCAGACTAAGTTTTCTGTAAAGCACCTTCAAGTAGAGATAATTATTGTGGAAAGCAGCACATTCAATTAGAGCTAATTTCTACTTCAGGAGAACAAAGAAGAATAGTCAACTATTCGAAAGTGCTCGAGTTTTGGGTCTTATTTTAAGTTTATTACACTTTATATGTGATAATTTGTGCTAACTCTTTTATCAAACTGATATACCTATAGCTGATCAGTATGGAAGGGCCCCCTAAAAAAAATTGCACCAAGTAGTTTGAAGTGTTAAAAATTCCTCAGTCTAGCCCCAATATTCACACAAACCTAGCCCCAATATCCACACAAACCACGCCCAGAAGTAATGATAAAAATAATAATAAATAATTTTTTTATATTTTTTTGGGGTATTGTCTCATCTTAATAACTTAAAACAGACCCACTGATTATAAGTTCTTAGTGGTAAGTGTGTATGGTCCCATCCAGTAAATAATAATCATTGGGGGAAGGGGGTAGGTCCGAAGAATCCTATAAGTTCTTAGTGTGTATGGTCCCATCCAAAGAAAAAATATACCTGTTTTGGCAAGATCATTACTTATCCTTGTCATTTTGTATAATAGATAATATTGGGTCCACATATTTGTTTTCAAAATATTTATCTGTCCTGCAATTAAAGAGGTTTTGCAGTGTTAATTTAGACATTTTGATGGTTAGTTTGAATTTGATTAAATGTGGAAGTAAATGTATCCAGTGCAACAAAATTACACCTATTGTTGTTCTCCAAGAAAACTTTAAAAAGTCGTCATATTGATATTCTTGGTTTATTTTGGACACAGGTTTGTTCACATATCTTAAAAGTACATTGAGGCATGTGGTTTTTGTTTCTGAAATATGCTACAAGTATAGGATATCAAAAGATTTGTTAATGGGAAGTGTTCTAAACTCAAGATTCTGTTTCTTGTTTTCACTTTATTCAAGGTTGATCCAAACAAAGAGTTCTGTACGAATGAATTAAATCATGTTAATGAACTAAAACCGTATAGGACATGTGAAGAAAAATCAAAAGTGAAACCTAATAGATCAAAATAATGAATTCATATTTTCTTTTCAGTTGGAGTGCTTAAAACTTATAGCATCTTCAAGATTTACAGACAAAAGAATTGGGTATTTGGGAGCAATGATTTTACTAGATGAGCGTCAAGATGTCCATCTTTTAGTTACCAATTCCTTAAAAAAGTGAGTGAGCTAAGATCAGATATAAATTTGTTACTTAGTTACATATTCATGCCTCTCGTTGGAGAAATTCTCTGTGTATACGTTTTAACATGAGAAAGCCAGAAAAACAAAACTTTTTTAAGATAAATGGATTGTGAACTTTCTACAAACTGTTTTTTTTTTCAATTGGTATAATTTTGGTAAAGTTACTAGATTCTTTCATACATTTTAAAATTGTGTATTTTTTTACCAGTTTGATGCTTTTAATCTTGATGACTAATTCTGCCGTATCAGATATGGGAAAAAAAAATTTTATATGTTCACATACGTCTTGTAGTGACCTGAACAGCCAAACCCAATTTGTTGTCGGTCTGGCTCTCGGAGCACTTGGATCTATTAGTTCCCCGGAGATGAGTAGAGATCTGGCTGGAGAAATAGAAAGACTTCTTAAGTCATCAAATGCTTACACAAGGAAAAAGGTTTGCATTAATTTTAATTTACGTATGTTTATACGATGAAAAAAAACGTTTTGGTTTTGTAAATCTTTAAATGCTCACACGCACAATCACACAAAAGCGAAAGTGTCTTGTAAGGTTTAAGTAAAGCTTCAAATACTTACATGCAAAAGAAGTCTGCCATGAGGTTTATGTAAAAACTTCCAAGATTTGCACAAAAAAAATGAGTGTTGTAAGCTTAACATAAGTCTTCAAATGCTTACATTAAAAAGGATTACATTAACTTTCTTGAATTTTTCACATCAATCTCCCCAACAGTTTGAGAGTGGGGAAGCAAGAAAATAAAAATTAGTATTTGCATAGGGGAGAATGTTGGAGAGGTGCTTTGACTGAACATGAATCATCACATCCATATAAGGTCTTACACTGATGGACTGTTCAACTTTATTCTGACTTCACTTCTTGACCTGATGACTTGTAGTACTTTATTCTGACTTCACCTCTTGACCTGATGACTTGTAATACTCTATTTTGACTTCACTTGATGACTTGTAATATTTTATTCTGACTTCATTTCTTGACCTGATGACTTGTAATACTTTATTCTGACTTCACTTCTTGACTTGTAATACTTTATTCTGACTTCACTTCTTGACTTGATGACTTGTAATACTTTATTCTGACTTCACCTCTTGACTTGATGACTTGTAATATTTTATTCTGACTTCACCTCTTGACTTGAT